AAAGTAACTCACCCACCTATGTTGAATATCTTTTTCTAAGAAAAGTACTTTTTGATTTTCATCTTTAATACACTTTACTTGAGTTAAATCTTTACTTTTCTTTTCTCTTTGTTTGGCTAGTTTATACATATATTTTTCACCCTCCTTAGTATCTAATCTATTATAAAGATCATTAAAAGCAGAATTTTTAGCATCACAGATTGTTCTTTTAGACTCCCTGCGAGCCGTTTGATATTTTCTCCAGTTCTTTAAGCTTTTACATTTTAACCAATTTTTATAACATAACTTCTTATATTTTATCTTTTCTTGCACATTATTATTCCACCACCAACTATTTTTATTTGTAAATATTTTTTCTTTTGATTCTCCAAGCACATCTTTTGCTACTTGTTTAATAGTATTTGTTACTTTATCTTACATCACATTTGCTTCTTCATGAATATCCCAAATTTTGAAATCTTGAATTTTACTCATAAAATTAATTTTATTTTTATCTTTTAAGTTTCTCCATCTAATTCTGCAATGATGAGTCCTAGTATTTTTTATTTTACAACTCTTAATCTTAAAATCTAAAACTAATAAACGATGTTGGGTATTTAAATTTTCACTTGGAATGACTTTACAATCATTACAATCACGACGATCTCTTCTTCTTATAAGAAAATAATCAATTTGTGTTTTATTAGATCCACTCTTATAAGTAATAAGATGTTCATCCCTTTTCTTGAATAAAGTATTAGTAATAACAAAATCAAACGCTAAAGCAAAATCTAAAATAACTTTACCTTCTTCATTAGTTACTCCAAAACCGTAGCCACCATGAATATTTCTGAAATCTTCTACCACTCTACCGACATGTCCATTTAAATCTCCTCCAATAAAAATTCTTTCTTCAAGAGGTATCATTTGTATTAAGTCTTCTAAGTCATTCCAAAATTTATCTTTAGACTCTGTATCTAAACCTACTTGAGGAGCATAAACACTTATAATATTAAAAATCTTAGTATCAATGATAATCTTAAGGGCTATAATTCTATCACAAACTCTATTAATTTTTACAACATTATCTTTCAAACTCTTATCTATAATTACACCTACACCATTTCTAG